TTTTTTTTAGTATTTTTTATGCAGGGGAAGGAGGCAGCTCGCAGTCATAAAAGCTGGATTCTGGATTCTTTAATACGGGGGCTTGGCGGGGGTGGGGGAGGCATTTCACGAAAACTTAAGTCCATGTACAAATTGCAATGAATATTCCACAAGAAGGATGTCTCTTTGTGCTCTTAACTCATTTTTAAATTTTGCAGCAAAACATTTACTGGAAATGTCTAAACCAGTGAGAAAAAGTTGATGCAAATCATTAAGCCATTCCTTATGTTTTCTAATTTTTTTTAATGTTTTATTTATTTCTGAGAGAGAGAGAGAGACAGAGTGTGAGTGGGGGAGGGACAGAGAGAGAGGGAGACAGAATCTGAAGCAGGCTCCAGGCTCTGAGCTGTCAGTACAGGGCCTGATTTGGGGCTCGAACTCCCCAACTGTGAGATCATGACCTGAGCTGAAGGCAGCTGCTTAACCGACTGAGCCATCCAGGCACCCCATGTTTTTTAAATTTGGAATTGTATGTTGGCTTTCGGTTTCAGTGTCCTTTCTGACTGCTCTGGTGTGTATTAAGTTCTTACTACAACTGCAGTGCATATCGACCTTCCCTAAGAAACCGTTTCCTGGGAGGTGAGGCCGGCCGCCATCAGCCAGCCCCAGGCAGGAAGTGTGGTGTGTGTGCATTTCTGTTTCGTGCATTACTTAGGCTGGTTGTCACTAAAATCAGCTTAGCTTTTGTATTAGATTATTTCACCAACTGCTACAGTCCAAATGATCAAATCTTTGTACAATAGAAAATTATTTAAATTTTATTTTTCTACTGACATTTCTAATTCTGGTATAAATGTTTATCAATAAAGAATTTCAATTCTGTGAACTGGGACTATTATTTTTATATTCAGTGGCCAATGAACTGAATCTTGCAGTAACATCTGACTTAAATTTAGGGAGTTTTAAATAACTTACTACTTAACATATGTTTGGCTGTATTCCTTTTATGTTCAACGTCTTACTAATTTATGGTAAAATTCTTGTTCAAAGGTGTGATTAAACTGTACTTAATATGTAATCTTGAGTCCTCTTAACTGCACTTTGTGGGCTAGATCTTATCAACTGGAAGCTTTTTGTATGAAACCACATTGGCATAGACAAAAGCTGATAAGATGTATGAAAAAGAAATATTTCAACAGTAAATTCACGTGACGAGAGGCTCCCAACATTGGTTTAGTACTCTTCATTGGCATTGTAAGTCTTTTTCTGTTCTGCCATTTTCAGCAAATTGGATCGGCCTCTTTGGGTAGCTTACATCATGGGCACACGATGACCACTGTAGTTCCTGGCATTGTAGACAGACAATGTCTGGCAGTAGACTGCCCATCCACCATGTCTCTGTAGTTTTTATTGAAGCATAATATACGGTAAAGTGCACAAATCTCAAATGTGTAGCTTGATGAACGTGTATGTATTCACACATTTATGCTGAATACCACTCAGATCAAGGTACAGAACAATATTTAGCACCCCAGGATAACTCTACATGCAGAGTTTGGCCAGAAGCCCCCAAGACTGTATGTATCCAGGACCTAAGAGGAGGAGCTTGTCTTCAGTTTTCAAAAGGTGATAACCCAAGATTGGACAATGGAAAGAGACTGTAGGAGAGGAGGGGCTGAAGGTGCTGAGTATGGGGGCACCTGGTGTGAGCATCTGACTTCGGCTCATGTCTTCTTGATCTCACAGCTCATGGGTTTGAGCCCCACGTCAGGCTCTGTGCTGACAGCTCAGAGCCTGGAGCCTGCTTCGGATTCTGTGTCTCCCTCTCTCTCTGCCCCTCCCCTGCTCACGCTCTGTCTCTCTCTCAAAAATAAAAAAATAAAGGTGCTGAGTATGGTAGAGAGGACCCCATAAACTCTTGCTAAGACAACACAGTAATAATGAACCAGGAATCTTCTAGGGAGTTTGTACTCTGGCCAACTGGAGAGCCCTGTCTAAAGGGGCCAACCATTACTTAGTCCCAGCCTATTTCTACTTTATGGGATTTTGAGCCCAGTATGTCCAGATTTTCCAGTTTTTCAGGGGAAGTTGGAAATCTGGGTTGACATCTCAATTTTTAAGTGCTTGCAACAAACTTGAACTCACATAAAATGCTTTTCAGGTCAAACAATGCATGCCTTTGAGCCGGATTTGGGCTCTGTTAAACTATTTGAAATAATGGAAACTAGCTCCTACCCTGATTATCCTTAAAGTGGCTGGAAACTGTGAATTTGAACAAATGCATGGAGTGGCAGTGAGCTGCAAAGAGATTGGGAGAAATGAGATGATGCTGGGGGAGAGTGTGTTGGAGAATTCTAACGCATCCTTTTCCCCAGGGGCAAAAGGCTACATCCCAGTTTGTCACTGCAGGGTCCATTTACAGTGTCCAAGGAAAGAGGCTGGCATGGTAAACTCCCAAATACTGAGTCCTAATTTCACATCTACTTTTCTCTTACCCTCCCATAAGGACGATCTACCTAAAGCACAGACCCAAATGTAAGAACTAAAACTATAAAGCTCAGAAGAAAATGAGAGTATGTTTTGTGATCTTGAGTTAGGCAAAGCCTTCTTAGATAGAACCCCAAAAGCACAAGGGACCAGAGAAAAATAAATTGGACTTGGTCAAAATTTAAAAATGTTATGCTTCAAAGGATGCCATTAAGGGTGTAGAAAGACACGCCACAGAATAGAAGGAATGATTCAAGTCCTATGGTTTATAAGAGACGGCTATTTAGAATATATAAAGAACTCTTAAAACTCAATAATAAAAAGACAAATGATGGGGCACCTGGGTGGCTCAGTGGGCTAAGTGTCTGACTTCGGCTCAGGTCATGATCTCGTGGTTCGTGGGTTCGAGCCCCGCGTCTGGCTCTGTGCTGACGGCTCAGAGCCGGGAGCCTGCTTCGGATTCTATGTCTCCCTCTCTCTGCCCCTCCCCTCCCCTGCTCATGCTCTGTCTCTCTCTGTCAACAATAAATAAATGTTAAAAAAATAAATAAAAAGACAAATGACCTGGTTTTAAAATGAGCAAAAGATCTGAATAGACATTCTCCGAAGAACATCTATCATGGCCAATAAAGACATGAAAAGATGTTTAATATCAGTCATCAGGGAAGTACAAATAAAAACTACAATGAAATGCCACTTCACACCCACTAGGATGGCTTTAATAAAAAAAGACAAGGGGTTTGGCAAGGTGTGCAGAAACTGGAACCTTCAGGCATTGTTGCTGAGGTCATAAAATGGCACAGCTGCTTTGGGAAGCAATCTGGCGGTTCCCCGAAAGGTAAAGCATATGATTTCTATATG